CTCTGACATCCCAAGCGAGTTCTTAACCATCGCGCCACTCGGCCGGCCCTGACCTGCCTCTTTTGATGAAGGAGTTCCCCCCACACCCCATCTTGTTTTCAAGACATTGTGGCAAAGCTTTTGGAATCAAAGTCTTATCACCTTCTGCATATCTGCTTGATCCTTTCTCCGAGCCCACACAAGTATGAGCATATAGAATCCTAGAAGGCTGGCCAGCAGTGACACCCCAACAGGGTTGTTGGTCACGCGAAGGAAGAGCTTGATTGTGTCTTTAACGTTCACGGTCCGGGGCACAATGAAGAAGTCGCTGCCAAAATAGGTCAGGTGGTTACAGAGACACTGAGTCCTCCAAACTGTGCTCTGTGGTCCAACCTGGAATTAGAATCAAGACACTGATGCCAACTGAACAGCGTGCTAAGGAAGGGAGAAACATAGAACATAAACACAGGTGACTCAGCGTGAGAAAAGAATGTTCAGGTGGCTTATCTCTGCTGGTGGTGGTGTAAACGGGCATTGCCAACGTGGACTGCAGTTTGGCAACATATAGGAAAGCTGAAGCAGCACAGGCTCCTTGAATCCTGAAATTCCAGTTGTGAGTCTACACCCTAGGGGGACTTCGCACATGTGCACGAGGAGACGTGACAAAGAATGTTTTTGTCAGCACTGTTTATAACTATAAAAAGTTGGAAACAACCTATGGTAACGGCAGAATATACAAGTAAATAAATTAGAGGCAAACTGGTGGAAAACTATGCAGCAGTTAAAATGAATGAATATCAACATGGATAAATGTTGAGTGAAAAAGTGAAAAAAGGATATGTATAGTATGTTGCCATTTACACAAAGACCAAAACAACACTTATTTGTCTACTTTTGTCCGTCTCCTCACTGGAATGCCAGCTCATGAGGACACTGTCCAGCCCACCACTGCATCTCTAGTTCCTAGCCTTGGGCCTGGCATGCAGGAGATGCTCAGTAACTATTTGCTGGAGGAATGAACACACACCCCAAATTCAGGACAGTGGTTACCCTTTGGGGAGAGGGAGGAAATGAGGTTGGGGGAGGATACACAGAGGAGTTTGATTATATCTGAGTCTTTTATTATTTTTAAAAATCTGAACTAAATAGAGCAAAACACTAATTTTGTGATAACGCTGAGTGGTGTGTTTAATGTTTTTTTATGATATTATTCACTATAATTTTCCCTATGTCATAACATTTATTTTAAAAAGTATTTTTAGGGCCGGCAGAGTGGCGCGATGGTTAAGAGCTGGCTTGGGATGCCAGAGGGCCCCGGTTCGTATCCCACATATGAGGGCCAATGACACTGCCCTCTACAGCTAAGATGCTGAACAACAGCTCAACCTGGAGTTGGCGTAGGCTGTAGCCCCTGTGGCAGTGTGTTGCCATGGGCTACCATGAGCGGCCAGCAGCCAGCTTGAGTGGCCAGCAGCTATCGTGAGCGGCTGTCCAGAAGCCGGCGACTGATCTGCCTCGCCCGGGAAGAGTGCAATGATGGTGCCAACTTGGGCCAGTGAAGCAACGTCCTCCACAACTAGACTGAAGAACAAAACGACAGCAACTTGTCTGTTTCCCTTACCCCAATTCCCCAGCGCTGGTCCCATCCCCCAATTCCCCAATAAAAACCTTTTAAAAAAAAAAGTATTTTTAAAAGTGTTACTAGGCGAATAGATTCTAATTCCAGGTTGGACCACCAATTCCAGTTTTGAGAATGCAGATGAAAAGTCTAAAATAGTGTCATTATGACTAACTTCTTTCCACTGCACAAGGTTAAGTTCTGATTGCCTAATCTATGTTCTGTCCTTGGGGGAACTCTCATCCTGCCCTCTTCACTACGTCGGGCTTCAAAGAGGCATGAAATCTGATGCATTTTGCATCAATGAGCATCGTTGTGCCAGGAAAAAGCTCTCAAGTCTTGTTGCCTCAAGTGTGGTTTCCCTGGCCAGCGGCACTGCCATCTCCTGGTTGCTGGTTAGAAAGGCAGACTCTCTGTCCCGCCCAGATTCACTGCAACAGAATCTGCATTTTATTTAACAAGCTCCCATTTTCAGGATTTGCTTGGGGAGCAGGCTCCAGATGATCCCAGCAACCACTGCTGGAGGCCATGAGTGGTGCAGGTGCCTCCCAGAGAATCCTCTTTCCTTCTTTTCCCATCTGGATGATACTTTCTCATGTTGTTTAAGAACAGCCTCATGATTTCCAGAACCCTGAACCCTATTCTTTGTGCAACTGAACCAGGACTTAAATCAGACAGGATCTCACAGAATCACTAGTGTGAAAAAGTACAGCGCCATTTTAAAGTGGGCAGACAGCTAGGGCTAGGCAATAATCACGAAAGTGACAATCTGTCTCCACCTGGTCTGGAATGTACAAGAATCTGCTAGCTTATTTTTATGTACAAAAATTCCCTTGTTTCTAGCAGGAAGTTCGTTTCATTATACCCACAACATGTTTAATACTTGTCAAATTTAACAGCTTCCATATACTGCTTTTATTATTTTATCTAGACTTGTCACATTCACCCTAGACTAACGTTTGAAAAAAACATAACAAACATAAAGCACAGGCCTGCTCCAAAGAGACTCTCTTGCCCAGCCCACTACACACAACCTCCTCCTTCTTCCCAGGCTGGTTTATTTCCCTTCTGCCCATTTTAAGGGAAATGAGCTAACAGATGCACCGTGTTTAATGCCAGCTAAGGTAGAAGAGAGGCCGAGAAGTGGCACAGCTGCTTACCTGACACCCACTGCTCCTCCATGTGCAATTGTGGCTATCCCAGAAATAGCACTGAGTGACTGCAGTTGTGATGGAGAACAGGGTGGATGCCTGCTGAGCACTCTCTTTGCTTTTATTCAACACAGCTGTTATGTAGTAGGTGCCAATCCCATACTGCAGACTCTCTGGAGTCAGCACCCATGTGTATTCCTCATCTGAGAACAAAGCAGAGTGGTTAGTTGCACTGTGCATGGGAGAAAAATACCATTAGAACCTTTCTTCTGAAAGGTCTATTATTATTTTATATCACAAACAAAGTAATAAGCATAGAGTCACAAATGATTTT